GTAATTTTTTTTATAACTTGCATTACGTATAATTTCACAAATTTTATTATTTTCTATTACTTTATTGCATTAAGTTATCACGGGAATTAAAATTGAATGGCCAAACAAGAATTGTGAACTCCAAAATTAGTTTTTTAACCAAGTATACTGTCAACGTTAAAATCAAATCGGTCAAAAACCACGTCCACTGCCTAGAAAATTATTACTAATCAAAATAAAAATATATATTCTAATACCAGTACTTTAGATACAAGATAAAATTACAATATCCTAATAGTTTTGCTAAAATTACAAGACATATCATCAGTTATATGTTATACCGAAATTTTGGCAGCAGATGTTCACAGTCGCGCTCAGCTTTCTTAATTACACTGATATTAGGCTCAGACTCTCGTCGTAAACGAGTTTGGTAAAATTAAAAACTTAGTTCGTAATCTAAATTGTATAAGAATAAGTGAAATAAGTTCCGTAACAAAATTATCTAATTACTGCCACCGGCTAGACACTCTTATAAGCAATCTTTGTAATATTCGTCTATCCACATTTTCTTAAATTCCCTAAACAAGTCTATAGAATAAATAAAATGGTTGAGTCTGCTTTGTGGCAACCTGAAAAACACTTTTGAAGTTTGAAGTTGAAACCCGCTAGATGGAACTGGAATCACGCTATTTTTGATCGCTAAATACTTGGTTAATAAAGGTAATTTGGAGAAGATTCGTCGCGCAGAGTCCACTGTTTCTACTGTTATATACCCCGAACAGCGTATATTAATTTTGTCACGAAGTTTGCAACATCCATTGAAATGAAATGTCGTAGACCCAATAAAATATATATTATACTTGTATAATATATATATTATCAGCGTAACGAGCTGAGTCGAGTTAGCCATGCCAAAATCAAGTTCTTGTATGGAAACTTTTTTATTTGTGTAGAGTACTATAGATGCGATGCATGTGAAGTGAATGCTTTTTTTTGTTTAGTTTCTTGTCTCTTTCTCATGCCCCATATTTCACTGAAGCTTCCCATAGGGGATTTTGGACCTATGGGGCGATTGTTCATGGTCGCCATTTTCGGAGCATATGCGCTTTGTGGTTTTACTTCGTGATTTCCCTTACTTAAAATTTTCTGTAATCTTATAAACGTGTTCGAACGCTTTTAAAGTTTTGATCCATAATTAAAACCAAATTTTCTGCTATATGGATATCTGAATACATTAAATAATCTTTAGATTTTTTCTTTGTCTCCAAGTACTGAAATATTTGCATTGGTGTGTGCTGAGCAGATTTGTAACAAGGTAACCTGAACTTTCGAAATCGTTCAAAATAAAATTTAAGGCTTAACCTAAAATAATGTGTAAGTGTAAACAGCACATATAAATGATACCTGAGCCCGATAAACTTGATATCGATCAATCTCGCTCACATTTACGGGTTTGGCCGATTTCAAGAACAATGAAATATAAAATAAAAAATTAGGATCATTGACTTAACATTATCTTTAAGCGAAGAGCATTCGAAGTCAATACCGGTTTCCCCTAAATAAACGACTTTCAACATATTCTTATAGCTTTAGAGCATAGCGGAAAGCCGCTAAAAGCGTAGCAAAGGAAAGTATAGCGTAACTGTTGATTTCATATGACTACTCAGTGTCTTTGCTACCATTGACCTAATTTGACCTTATTGTGATGATGTTTAAATTATTACGACGCTTATTGTATGCCACAGTGGTTCGGTGTGGCGAGATGAGAGGCGGCAAGTTGAAGTGAGCAGAAAAATATGAAAGCTCTTGCTACAGATAGTCATTTATACTGACCCTCTTGCTGTCGTTCTAGGCACAATCATTGGTTGGTCACTTGTTGGCTGCTACTTTATGTACAAAGCCAAAATATATGGTGCTAGCGCGTTCAACCAGCAAAACGTAAGTATCCAACCATTTTTTTTTTTTGCTTGCCTTTTCTTCTACATTTTGTTTCGGTTTCCAGCAAATATGCGCTCATACTTGAACCAAACCACATAAAAATGCTTAAAGCGCTTAAGCGGTCGCCTTTCTTTGATATTTGAAAGCATTTTTGCTCTTCCACATTTCTTGGCAATTTCTCGGGTTGTGTTGTTGAATTTACATCAACTGTCATGATCAACAAATACAAACAAACGGAAGGACAACAAAAAATATATGTGATTGTGTATGTGTGTACTGTACGCGGTTTTACTCACCGCCGATACCATTGGCCGTCTGCCAGCCAAGAAAATGGCAAATATTTGTGCACAGGTGCCAATAATGCGTAGCATACTTTCTGGCGCGTAAGCAGGTTGCGTGTGTATTAACAACAACTTTATGCCCAACAAATTATAGTACAGTATCGCAGTTGACGGAGCCAGTGCTCTGAAATTAAAAACCTTAAACCCGCCTCTTAAGCCGTAAGCGATTATGGTAAAGCACATTTCTGAGATGCCAGAATTTATAATTGTTGAAGCAGTGAAGCGTATACTTGCGCTCAATATCATTAGAAAATTGAAGTGCTGCTAATATTACGAAGTGTTATAATTTATAAAGATTATTATGATTACACCTTGGCGTATACGTAACATACAGTGGACTTTTGGTATAAGGCTAAGAACAGAGTGAGTTCTTTTTTACATTCAGTGAGATTAATACAAAAAAAGAAAAATCGTTAACTTTGGCTGCACCAATGCTATAATACCCTTCACAGCATTACTATAGCAACTATTATACTATTACTTTAGATCATTGCCTTGATTTGTATTGGTCAGTGTGAATGTTAGCTATATGCTATAGTGATCCGATCTGAACCATCTTTGAGAAAATTGTAGCGTTGCCTTGAAATAATAATCTAAGCTAAATTTTAGAAAGATAACTTCTCAAATAAACAAGTTTTCCCTGCAAGAACTTGTTTTCGTTCGGACAGTTTGTATGACAGCTATATTGTGTAGTTGTCCGATATCGGCGGTTCCGACATATGAGTAGTTTCTTTGGCAGAAAACAGCTTGTGAACTTTTGAACTGTTTTATTAAATTCTAAGAAATATATCGACATTTGAAAAAAGAAAATGTCTATGCAAAATCTTTAAGGTTCTTTTACCAGGTTATTTCTGAAATATTCGAGAAAAATATTTTCATACAAAAATCTAAAATATGCTAGTATCTGTAGTGTCAAAGAAAATAATCAAAGCTTTAACAGCTTAATACATCACACATTGTCCGCACTTTGCTTATCAGTTTATACCCGTTTTCTTGGAATCATAACACTTCGTACAGTCATGCATATGGAAACGCTGCTTCCTGCCAACAATATGTTACATTCTCCGATTTCACGTCATTTCTACATCCCTTCGTCCCTCATTTATTGCACCACCCTCTAGTTCACCGACAGTTACTTGCACTTTTAATGTCACATACGTAAACACACTCTCATCACAGACACGAACACACACATGCCTTAAGCGTGCAAACACAAATATGAAACGATTTAAACGCTGCTGGACCACATTTTCTCCTTTGTAGTTTTTGTGGTTTCCTGTCGGTTTTCGGGTCGTTCCGACTGTCAGTTGCGGTTTCCATGAGCTGTTTACTTCAATCAAATATTTACGCATACACTTACATACACAAATTTCGCATTTACTTAAAATTTGCTCAGCTGGCTCAAAGTGTATAAGCTACATTAATGCGTTGCATAAACGATATCTTAAGCAAGTGACAAATGAGGAGTTTTCAATTTTAAATTACTTATCGTTGGGAAAAGGTTGACTTAATAGAATATAAATATGTCACGTTTTTTAGATATATAATATTTGTGAGGTTATAATCTCTCCACTCCTATGTACAAACTTTTTCGGAAAAAAGAGTTTTTTTGGGATGGAGCCTTTCTTTGACAGATCACGCTTTATCGTGTCAAGCCGTTATGATATTTTTGTTTAGTATTGTATGGCATTTCATTGCGGAAAGACTTACGCCTGAACAACGTTTACAAATTGGTCAACTTTATTGCGAAAATTCACGATCTGTACAGAATGTGTTTCGCGCGCTTCGGTCAACATAATCAGCCTACTGAGCGTACTATTCGTAACACCATCACCTATCTTGAGACCCATTATTGGATAATACGCGTATTTGACCAATAGCCAACGTCCAGCACGCAATGAAGAAAATATAGCGGGCGTAGATGAGAGTGTATACGAAGACCTTGGAGAGTCGATTCGGCACCGTTCGCAGCAACTGGCTGACGTATGAAGCGACTTGGCGCATTTTACGTCGAGATCTTAAATTAAAAGCGTACAAAATACAGCTTGTGCAAGAACTCAATGCATATGTAAAGTTTAAAGTCTATGCGGGCAATCCCACTTCGATTCAGTCCTTGGAGCAAAACATCACGCGTGTCATTCACCAATTACCAGTTCAAATGCTCGAATGAGTCATCGAAAATTGGACTCAAAGGAGAGACCATCTGAGACGTAGCCGCCGTCAACATTTGAAAGAGATGATCTACAAAAAATAAATGCCACAGAATGCGCTTTCCCATGATAATAAACATTCCCCATCAAACATGAATATTTTGTGTTATTTTTTTTTTTTTAATTAGGGAACTTTGTTATATATTAATATTATATTTAATATTATTTAGGTTCAATGTCCTCTTTCCAAGCTGAAGAACTTACGAAAAAATGGTTTGTGTTCGAACTAACTGCAAACAGTTAGTATAGTAGTTTTTAAAAGCCTTTTATAATGCTAATTTTATACACAAACTCCTTAATAGCTTTCCTCATAAAAAGCTCTCACAAACACCTGCTCAAGCTGGGTTCCACACCACACGCTCCGCAGCATCCACTGCGCAGCTGCTGAAACTGTCATTTGGAATCGTAAACTCTGTCACATTACAACCACCAAATCGCAACAAATCATAAGATGAAACAACAACTCCAAATGATAATATTTGCAACAGCGCAGCATCCAGTCAAACGCTTTTCCATGCGTCAAAAAGCGTTCAGTAACATTCCAACTGTCAAAGCGAGCGAAACATGCGTGCCAAAAAAATTGTATCTGCAAGTGTGAAGCGCGGATACGCGTAAGTGTATGTATATGAGAAAAAAAGCAAAGAGCGAAGAAGCGCAGAAAATAAACAAAAAACCAAAAAAATTGCAGCAAATTGTATGCTAAAAGTTAAGAAAATATATTAAAATAATACACAGTCACAGCTACAGTGTTAAGATGCAATCTCCGGGATCCCCGCGATGGTGCTGGCGCTATCTGCGTCTGAGTTGTTGCCTCGCCGTGCTCAGTGCGCTGCTGCAGCACACGCTGGCGCTGCCCGATGTCATCAAAATCGGTAAAAAAAATAAGATGAATTTAAAAATAGTTACATTGCCAAGTGGGCTTATCAGACGCACTCGGCTACGCCAACGCTCGATTATCTATCAGCCTCATGAAGTCTATTTTCGCCTGCTTCCACTTTGATTTATTGATTTTTTGTTTGCATTAAATTTATTACTTTAAAATTATGTATGTATGTAGTGGGAAGAACAGCAGCAGTGTACGCACAGTGTACGAGTGGGGTTTCATGCACAGAAGCTTCTGAAAGGCTAATAAGCTCGAGTGTACGGATGAGCGGAAATTACGAGCTTACTTGCATTCACATGAATTCAATTAAATGAAATTAAAAATACACGTCAGTCATTTTTGTTTACCTTTCATTTTTGCCATTTCGCTTTAACATTTGTTTCTTTTTCTCATCACTTACGGTCTCCTGCGCTCCCCCATTTCATTCATAACCCCGCGTAATGAGTTGCTGATTGTACGCACCACATAATCCTGCTTGCCGCTGGCGCTTTTATTGCATGTGCATTTATTTATTTTCGCATTTGCCCCTCAGGTGGCCTATTTCATCCAACCGACGATACACAGGAGTTGGCCTTTCGTCAGGCTGTCGAGCACATCAACTCGGATCGATTAATATTGCCGCGCTCCAAGTTGGTGGCGCAAATTGAGCGCATCTCGCCGTTTGATAGCTTCCATGCGGGCAAAAGGGGTGAGTACTCTGAAGATTACATTGGTTTATTTATAAACATTTATCAAGTGGCTATTGTGGGCTTAACAAATGTAGTAGTTATTTATAGTTTCCGACAACAAGTTGATTGAGTAAGTAGTCTGTCCTTATCTCACTTAGTGGTGACTAGTAGGGGGTTACAGAGTAAGAGAGGTATATGCTAGGTTTCAACGAATGGAGAAGATGTTTAGAATTACGAACTTGCAAAAAAAAAAAGGTGAACTCAGCTATTATAGGTCCAAAAGGCACCTATGCTATGCAGTTAAAATACATTGGTACTAGAGCAACCACTGAAATAACAAAGGTCGCAAAGGTTTTCGGTGTGGCAAACAGCTTTTCCATATATTTTCGTATCAAACCAAACCAAACATATAACATTTTTAACAGAGCTTTTTGTTAATATTCTTGTAAATGGCTTAAATCAGACACCAAGGTTTAAGTGAACTTTTTTACGATATAAAGACGTTCAGAGGCTTGCTTTGACCTACCGAGGGCTATTAAAGAAAGATTTCCTTTTTAAGAAACTTCTAACCTTGATAGTGCGAACCTCTAGCCATTTCAAGACAGTGATCGTATTTAAGTAACAATTACACACATAATCTGTCTTTTGTACACACGAGCTTCAAAGTTATAAAAAAAAATGTCCAGCACTTATGAATAAATAACAGAATTTCATGGCCGAAATACACTAAAGTTTGTAAACGATAAAGAAACCGTTGGATACTCTATATCGATCAAAATAATGTTCTTGTATGGAAAAATTTTTTATTTGGCAAGATATTGCCCCGCAATTTGGCAAAGGTTATCGCCCAACACTATAATCCTTAACATATTGTTCATATCGAACCATTATAACATATAGCTGCTATAGAAACTGACCTATGAAAATCAAAATAAAGATGTTTCTATACTGTTTTAAGCTATAAGAAATGTACCTGTGAAGGGTATTATAGCTTCGATTTAGCAGAAGTTATAATTTTTTTTTGTTTTCTCAATCAGCTTAGCCGATCACTTTCACTGCCTGAGCGAAATTCAATTTCTACATATTTTAAAATATATAAAGCCATGACCGATATAAAGGAAACAATGTGTATTCAAAGCGTTGTTTCACAATTTTTCTAAATTATTATCACACGGTTTCGGTTTGCTGAAATTTCATATTATCTTCCCTATGCTTACACACATAGTAGATAATCGGTTTAGAAAATGTTGCTCCCCCACTCGCAGCACGAGTGGGTTAGGTCGCGATAAGACTCAGCCAACAAATACTACTCGCTTACGAATGGCTTCCGCTTTTTATCCGCAAGCACATAAAGACAACAGTAAACGTATAATTGAAAATAAGAATGAGAACGGCACAATAGTTGGAAAATCCTTGGTAGAATGCTAAAATGGTAGGGTGGTGAAGACGAAATCAGTACGGGCAACAGTGTAGAACTACAGCACGCCTGGGAAATTCAAAGGCATACCCGTTTATTAATGTTTACGTAGTGCATTTGTGACAGCGACGACAACGAAACGTATGGCAACTGAAGTAGTTGAGGGCTGGAGGGACCCACGACGCAGGGGAGTTATTCAAACTCGTAAAGAAAGCTATAAAAGCAAGCGAATAACGGTTATTATCACCAGTTTGGCCGTCGTATTTTTTGTTTTCATTATTCGGGCATACAAATACTCTCATGTTCGTACATGTGTTTGTAGACTATTGAATAAATTTGCGGTTTGTTGTTGTATGAGCACCGAGCATACTGATTCGGTTTGTGTTTTGGTGGTTTTATTTTCATTATTCCGTTTTTTTTCTCTTTTATTTTGCTTGCCACTATTTACAGTTTGCGGCTTGTTGAACATTGGCGTGGCAGCCATATTCGGGCCACAATCCTCCAACACCGCAAGCCATGTGCAAAGCATCTGCGACAATATGGAGGTATGTATGTAACAACGTAAGGATTAACAGTTATCGTAACTGCTAAGGCTAAAGACAAGCAAGCCAGAGCTTATGTGCTAACAAATCCAATGCAAATACCAACATTAGATTTGCTTGCATCATTGCAGCACTTCCGTTAGTTTTAAAACTGGTTATTTTTTTTATTCGCCGCTGTAGATACCTCACTTGGAGAACCGTTGGGATTACCGTTTGCGACGTGAAAGCTGCCTGGTGAACTTGTATCCACATCCAAATACACTGGCCAAGGTATATCTACAGATTTACATACACTCGCACTCACACACATAGCTACACACATTTGAGCCACTTAAAATAATTATGAGAGCTTAACTTGCCGTTAAACGGCTTCAGCGCTATACTTATGCATATTATCCCATTGTTTGCTCTTCAGGCTTATGTGGATATCGTCAAGCAGTGGGAATGGAAAACTTTCACAATTATCTATGAGAACAATGACGGCATTGTACGGCTACAGGAGTTAATCAAGGCGCATGATAACTCGCCGTATCCGATTACAGTGCGACAATTGAGTTTATCGGGGGATTATAGGTAAGCGACCGCATTTTTATTGAACACTCGAATAAGTTGGTTGATTTGTATTTTTATAGTTTTGCACTACATAAATATTAAAATTTTATTTTTTTCCTCATACTAAAATAATAATTCGGCAAACAAATTTAAGTCGGTAAAGCTACAAGGCAGTTTGAAACTAAATTTATGTAAAATACACAGCTTCAAGTTTTATGTGCTTGCTATTTGATTCATGGAAGCTTAATGCTGTTATCTATAGTGAAGTTCTAAATACACCGAAAATTCTACTCCATTCTCCGTAATTTAGACTTCTCCGTCCTGTAGCAATTTCATATGCTTTTTGGTCTTCAGCGAGCTCTCAGGGCTTTTTGAAGCTCAGGAGGAATAACGGTTAAAGGACTATTGTAGTCAACTCTCCATCAACTCTAGCGTCAAAATTTCAGATCACTGTAGCGTTCTTTAAGCTGCCATTAAATAAACTTTCCATCGGAATCTCTAAGAAAACATTTTGTCAAATCCACGTTATTTTTCGGACCGGATAGATGAGGTAGGCTGATCCCCGATCGGGAGACCATATTTGAACTAGACGGCTGGAGGGTTAAGAGTCAAGGTGTTTTAGCTTTAATCCCGCTAATGCGAAAAAGTCAAGAAAGAAGTGCCGAGTGTCTAAAGACAACTTCGACAGTGGTGTCTAAAACGATTTTTGGCCCTACGGCATGGGTGCTAGTCGTGCTTTTCTTGGAAACGCATCACCCTTGCAGTTCCCAGAGTTCCGCTGTTAACGTTTAGCTTTCCTTTAAACCTAATTGGTGAACTTCTGATTCTTTCGGATATTAATTTATTTAATTGAAGCATTCAAATATTTACACATTTCTTTTAACAATACTATCTTTCCCCTCAGACCACTGCTGAAACAAATCAAAAACTCCGCCGAAGCGCACATCGTACTCGACTGTTCCAGCGATAAAATTTACGAAGTACTCAAGCAGGCACAACAAATTGGCATGATGAGCGACTACCACAGTTACTTGATTACCTCACTTGATCTGCATACCATCAACCTAGACGAGTTCCGTTATGGTGGTACGAATATAACCGGCTTTCGTCTGATTAACGAAAAAGTCGTCTCGGATGTGGTGCGTCAGTGGAGTTTCGACGATAAGGGCCTACAGCGTTCAGCCAATTTGAGTACGGTGAGGGCGGAAACTGCGCTGATGTACGATGCGGTACATCTTTTCGCAAAAGCATTACATGATTTGGACACCTCACAACAAATCGATATACATCCTATTAGTTGTGATGGTCAAAATACGTGGCAGCATGGTTTTAGTTTAATCAACTATATGAAGATCGTCGAAATGAAAGGTCTAACAAATGTGATAAAATTTGATCATCAAGGCTTTCGCACCGATTTCGTGTTGGACATTATCGAATTAGGGCCGATGGGTATACGCAAAATTGGCACATGGAATTCAACACTGCCGGACGGTATCAACTTTACGCGTACCTACAGCCAAAAACAGCGCGAAATTGAAGCGAACTTGAAGAACAAAACGCTGACGATCACAACATTATTGGTTAGTACAACAAAAATTAAAGCAAATTATGGATACTGTATACAATTTTATTAATTTTTCAACTTTGCAGAGCAATCCGTATTGCATGCGCAAAGAGTCAGCAGTGCCACTCACAGGCAATGATCAGTTTGAAGGTTATGTTGTTGATCTAATACATGAAATCTCAAAGGCTTTGGGTTTCCATTACAAAATACAGTTAGTGCCAGATGGCAGCTATGGCAGTTTCAACAAACAAACTCTGTAAGTAAACCATGTAGCACTAAGAGTTTAGACACTTATACAATTTAACATATTTCTTGCCTTAGCGAATGGAACGGCATGATACGCGAGCTGTTGGAGCAACGTGCCGATCTTGCGGTCGCTGATCTCACCATCACCTTTGAGCGCGAACAGGCGGTAGACTTTACCATGCCTTTCATGAACCTGGGCGTCTCGGTGCTTTATCGCAAACCCGTTAAACAACCGCCTAATTTATTTTCATTCCTCTCACCGCTTTCTCTCGACGTTTGGATTTACATGGCTACGGCATACTTGGGCGTTTCGGTGCTGCTGTTCATTTTAGCGCGGTGATTTTTGGATGAACTTTATATTAATTCTCGATCGTGATAAACAAATTTTGTTTTCTTTTATAGCTTTACACCGTACGAATGGCCCGCATATTCTGATGCTCATGGCGAGAAAATAGAAAGTCAGTTCACACTTATGAATTGCATGTGGTTCGCCATCGGTTCATTAATGCAGCAAGGATGTGATTTCTTGCCAAAGTATGTTTAATAATTACATATTTTTCCTCAAAGTTTTCTAAAATTATTTTCTTTAACACAGAGCTTTATCAACGCGAATGGTAGCTGGCATATGGTGGTTCTTTACATTGATCATGATTTCATCATACACAGCTAATTTGGCAGCCTTTCTCACTGTAGAGCGCATGGATTCGCCTATCGAAAGCGCTGAGGATTTGGCAAAACAGACGCGTATAAAGTATGGTGCATTAAAAGGTGGCAGCACGGCAGCGTTTTTCAGAGTAAGTAAATCAGATTGTTTATTTAATAAATCTCGCAGAGAAATGTATTAAGCTGTGAGCGCTGATTTCTAGTTTTTTTCTTACTGAACATAAAGACGGTCGTTATCTTGAGGAGGATAGAAACGTTATAGTATGTACATATGTATTTTAGCTATCAATAATCAAGTAGTAGTAACACTACTCAAAGACTGATTACGAATTTAATTTCAAAAATTTTCCATTACCCACGTTTTTTTTTTTTTTTATTTTAGTACATTGTGGTGGTTTGACCCCTACACCCTTTGACTACAACACAAAAAATCGTACGTGTTAAGAAATTTTTATTATTATATTTGGTTTTAGCAACGCAAATTTAGCGAGAAACAGCTTCGAAAATCACAGTCGGAAAATGACTGTAAACTAATGTAATTAAAGGGTCTTCACAAAACAGGAGTCGAGCTTGAAATAGAAGGATAACTGTAAAATTATGAATGGTAACTTCTTCTAAATGATTTTCAAAACAACATAGTATGAGGAAAAAAGAGGGATATCGGGTTAAAAATCGTCTTAAAGAGCGCAGGTTCGAGTTAGTTTATATAGCAGTAAGCCGTAACTTTGTTGAACTATAAACCTGTGATTTAGTGTGATTTAGTTGGCCTTCTCTACGATCCTACTTTCCTAGCACTCCCATAAATGGTAAGTTTTCATTCAATACCATGCGGTTTGTTCGTTCAATGACACCGAGTTATATGCGCCACTAGTTTAAAGTTTTGCTATGGAGAATTTAAAAAACTCGAAATGTAACTTTATTAACATTAACACCAAAAGTATTATCGAGCTAAAGCAACTTTTTGTGATAATAAGCTCAGCTCAAGAGAAGTTTAAACTACTTAACACCAAAACTGCTGGTAAACTGGAGTTTGTGGCGTAATGGGAATATACTATAAAGTTTGCGTCTCAATTTTTACCAAATCCTTCAGTTTTATAAACCCAATTTATTAATTTTTTTCACAACAGGAATCGAAAATATCAACCTATCAACGTATGTGGTCATTCATGGAGTCCGCCCGGCCGTCTGTATTCACCTCGACCAACGCCGAGGGTGTGGAGCGCGTGGCCAAAGGCAAAGGTATGTTTATAAAGGGGAACCGTATATTTTAGAATAATTACTTTACAAAATATCGTCTTGCAGGTTCATATGCTTTCCTCATGGAATCTACATCCATCGAATATGTGACTGAACGTAATTGTGAGCTGACACAAGTCGGCGGCATGTTGGACACCAAAGGTTATGGTATAGCAGCTCCACCGAGTAAGTGGACGGATATTCATTTCTTTACTAAAAATACATATCTACAAATACATATACATTATATATATATATCATTAGTGACGAAATTAATGCGTTATCTGCTGCTTTACAGATTCCCCTTACCGTACCGCCATCAATGGCGTAATACTCAAACTGCAGGAGGAAGGCAAATTACACATACTGAAAACCAAGTGGTGGAAGGAGAAACGTGGCGGTGGCAGTTGTCGCGTAGAGACATCGAAATCATCATCGGCGGCAAATGAGTTGGGTCTGGCGAATGTGGGCGGGGTGTTCGTCGTGCTAATGGGCGGTATGGGTGTGGCCTGTGTTATTGCCGTGTGTGAATTTGTGTGGAAATCGCGAAAGGTCGCCGTCGAAGAGCGGCTAAGTGCGATTTTGCACGAATGAGATTAAATGCAGGATGTGTGGGTTTAAAGTAGCAATGAAGAGAGAGAGAGAGGGGAGGATATCATGGCATTAGAAAAGGTTTGAGTCAGTAAAAATTCAGCGAAGAATGGAAGAATTAATCAGTATCGATGTTTGAGTTGTGTAGCACGACTAGCTATTATTTGAACTTTAAGTTTTCTTCGAACAAATTAACATTAAATTAATTGAGGTTAGTTTATAGCTTAGTAAAACATATATGCATAACATATATACACATATAAAATTTAAAAAAGTGTCAACTATTTTATATGCGCGTACCATATGAGTATTTTGTATTAGTGCTAGAGTTATCGTAACATACACACACACACATATGCTGTATACATACATACACAGCGCAAAATGTATTTACATATACATAGATATTATTTATAGCGATAAGTTAATATGCATTTAATAGTAAAAAAAAATAAACATATTGGAATTGTGCTGTATCATAAACAAAACGCCAATCTTGTACACTTACCATATGCTAATTTAATTACTACAGTTATATATTATATTAATTAGCTGTAACTAGCCAAAGCGCATCAAACACTCTATTAAATACGCACAAAATTATCCTAAACCCATAATCTACTTATAATCCTCATATCTAGATCTAATAAGCGTCATAAATCTACACTAACAAGGCTTTACAACCTCCTAAAACACTAAAAACTATGCTTATAACTGTAATAAACCCTATATATAATATATACAATACTGACTACATACATGCATACATACACACACGAGTATATAGTTTATACATATGTACGTTTTTCCTTCATCGAACCAATTTAGCGAATTACTCGTACACACGAATTATTAGTCGTAAGCGATTTAATTATAACAATGTAACCACATAGAAATTAGTAATAAATAATAAACGAAATGAAAAAACCTTACAAACATACATACAGACCACATACTCGTACATCCATACCGTTATATATACATATATTGTACATTTGTACATACAGTTGCATTGACACGAAAGGCAATGCTCCGACGACTGCACAAATGCATCTGTACAAGTGAACGTGTACGTATTTCTTAACACAAATAAAATACCATGCAGAAAAATAAAACCAAATTTAGAAAAACATATCATGATAATTACAACAGTGGAGATAAATTCGACTAATTTCACATTTTCAATTAAGCAGGACTTTCCTATATCTATGTACATACATATATACATATACTCGTATGTATATAAACACGCCCAAAGCTTCTACAAGAAAAATGGGCAACTCATGTAGGAAAAACTTGCACTAGTGCGGACAAAATGGTAGTTTCTATGAGGATCACTAAGTTCTAATGTTTTTACCAAAATTTAGATTTTTTAATACCTTAAAAACTTCGAAAGTCACTTTTACAAATACAATTAGTACGAGATCTCATAAATCACTTATCAGCCCTCGAAAATAATTTCATATAAAATATAAAAAGTAAGTAAATGATTTTGCTTTTAGTGTACAATCCCTATAGTCCTATAAATGTAGTGCTTTAAGCGCCTGAGTTTGATTTTCAGTTTTGATTTTTATTACGCTTTAAATTCAAAAATTTATTGAGCTTAGGCGAACACAATCTATATGTTCGCGGTAGGACATTAAGTTACAAGTATATCCAAGAGAAAAGCTTAGGGCGCACATCTAGCAGGACAGCCGAAAGAACTTAGGAACTAAAAAAAGCTAATCTATCAATAATTTTCAAATTTTAATGGGTTTTTTATACATATTTTACGAATACACAATATAATTTTTAAAGAAAAAAATTAAATATTTTTCGAGTTACATACGATCTCCTACGGCGCTAAAACAAACGTCCACCACTCCTGCAGTGAATCCGGCCTTCTCCGAGGATGGTAGCCAAAAGCAACATTCTCTCTAAAAGATATTGTCCGTACACTGAACTACGGTCGATAAAAAAAAATAAAAATTTACAAAATTCGGCATTTAAAAAAAGTTTGACCAAAAATTTTGTTAGTTTTTGGTCTGTCAAGATTTGATTTTTGTTCAGATCAAAAATATGGTGGGTTATAGCATGGAGAACTATATACAGAACATACATGCAATTTAATAGTGAACGGTTTGAAAGATAAACTTATGGAGCTGACTGAACTGAGCGGCTGCACTTTAGAAGCATGTAACTCAAAAGTTTTTAAAATTATCATTTAAAATTATAGTATGGTATTTTTAAAGGTATTGACTATCGAAATATGCAAAAATTAAAAAATTTATTTGTTCAACATTTCGCAAATTGCGTACCAGTGAGCTTTTGCTAGAAAATACGGTGGTTGTGAAAGCAATTCAAAACAGCTTTGGCAGCGATTCCATTAATTTGAGATAGCATGTCTTGTGTCATGAAAAGTATGTGAACAGATTCATTTAATAACTTCAGACTGTCAGATACATACTTGTATGTCGAACAACATTATTTTATGCTCATCCAAAACAAGTTTGTACTCTTGATTCGAACCAATTGTGCCAATGCTTTGAAATTTATATACGAGTCTTTTGAACGTTAGGGTTAATTACAAAACATGTAGCTTTAATATGGTGAAGAAGCTACTAACTTGTCTACCTGTCCGGTAATAATAAAAACAGTTAAATAAACTACAAAGGAATTAAAAATTAAAATTTTTGCTAGAAAAACTTATTAGCAAAGAAAAGTTTTTGAATACTGCTTACTAAAATATTACAACACGAAATTGGCTGCAATGTAGAGGAAAAAATATTTGCATATTATATTTATATGCTGCCAGTAAGTATTTCAGTTAGTATGCTTGAATCTAAAATTTCCACCAATTAGACTTCTTAGATATTTTTTTCCCAACAAGCGAATATCACATTCACATTTGTAGTAAAATATAATTTTGAAACCTTTGATTTTTCCTGCTGGGTATGCAAGCGCACACAATTTCACAGCTACTTTGTATTTACGACAATCGGCAATAAACAGTTACACGCCCACAATTCGTACGTCCACTGGCTGCGAACACCTGCTGTAGAGCGCCCGCCAAAAGTAAGTATATGATGTGTATGTATGTAAATATGTATACTCCGTGCGAGGTGAGGTAGAGAAGTGTGTGGCGAGAAAATGCCACTCAAAAGACATGCCAACATACATACGTACATACAAAACTGAATTGCTGTAAAGGAGGGGATAATTAAGTAAGCAAAAAATATATTATTAAAAAAAGTTATTTTATTGCAAAAATATTTTGTATTGTACAATATATTGCTTTTCAGGCATTTCCTCAAAAAAGTAAAAAAAATATATTTTTATAATCAAAAACTATACTATAATTTAAAACTTAAGTCGAATCTCACAATTATTATTAAATCGTAATTGTTTTTTTTTTTTGAATTTTGCTACTAAGTATGAAGACTCAGATTGTTTCGCTATGTCCAAATGGTCATAATAATATTTCGAACACGATTTTCTAACTTATTTTGGTTAAATAAAAATATATTTCAAACCTAGTGGCATTCCAAAATACTTTAGAACACCCCTTAAATCTGCGCGTATTCCAAGAGGGTTATTTTAAAGCATAAAAACCGTTGCAGTGCAATGGCCGTTCTTTCGATTTCACTCGTTAAATATTAACCATAACAATCTGGCCTTTGCTCTCGACCGCAGCGGGACACCATATACACACACCGCATGTACATATGTATGTATTGTCTGTGTGTGGGCAATACTATCCTTACCGGCTAATTTGAAGTGTTGTTTCGATGCACGCAAAATGCAATCAGAAATTAATAAATATTTTTGTGCTATCCTTTTTATAACTGCCAATCCCGTTATAACATTCAATCGTTTTGTGAATGATTTTACGAGTTAAAATACAATGCTTAGGCACTGAGGTATTCAGTTAAGTTTTACTTTTTCAACGAATGTGAGCGATGCGCCTTCACGCTTTTCTTTGGCCATTTTGGCTGCCCCTCTGCCTCGCGCTGTTGCCACAAAACGCTGAAGCCAATGACTTCTCTTCGTTTTTAACTGCAAATGCATCTTTAGGTGAGGAAATTTTAGCTTCTATTTTGATCTGTTTTAATACTGAGTATGTGATTTTTTCCTCTACAAATTTTAGCGGTTGTAGTGGATCGGGAATATATGCAAAGGCGTGGTGAAAACATTTTAGCGAATTTTCAAAGAATTTTAAGTGACGTGATACGTGAAAATTTAAAGAACGGTGGCATCGAAGTGAAGTATTACTCATGGAGTCAAATTCGATTGAAAAAAGGTGGGCAATTTTGTTTCCTTATGGCTTAAGATATACGAGTACTAACCTTATATTTAGCATTGTTTGAAAGAAGTGGAACACATTTCTTCCTTTGAACTTCAAACTTGTCGACTGTTTTGTTAAAGTATTTTGAAAAATTCAAATAATTATTTTATTTAACAAACAAACTGAAATTGAAATTTCAAATTAAAATACTAGTGTTGATAATTATGGTATATTTCTAACCTAGAGATATAAACATTGGCGAAGCAAAATAGATTTAGTGTATTTATTTTCAGTAACCTTCAAAGACCTTTTTCATTGAGTGCAAACACTGCGAGATTAGTTCTTTTCTCATCAGGAACCACCTTTCTTATTTTTCATCTGAGGGAACAAAATATTACTAAAGGACACATATTTGGGATGGTGGTATATTGAGTCAATAACTACAATATATTCATGCGATTATCGCAAATTTTAACTTTTATTTTTGATAGCCTGTTCTGATATGAACCTTATTCCAGTGAGGTCGTTAATAATAATTCGACCAGGAGATATGGTAGTCAGAAGGGGCAAGGTTTGGGCTATAAGGCAGAACTTCCCATATACTGTTTTCCAAATAGTTTTTAACCAGTCTTGCAACATGAGGCCGAGCGTTGCCATGCTGAAAAATTATTACCTCGCGTGTCTGAAATTTTGTGCCTTTTTCGGTAATCGCTCGCTTCAGTTTAATGAGTTGTTGTCTTTAGCGTTCCCAATCAATGGACTCATTTGTCCTCACAAGTCCCAATCTGATGCAAAAACGTCTCTTCGCTTCAATTCATATGGCACCCGAATTCCATTCTTTTGAATGTACCCGAAAGTTTTTAAATCTTTTAAAATGGCTGTTTGAGTGGCTCACAAAGATCCTGCGAGTTTATCTTTTGTCTGTCAACAATATACATCGAATAATGCATTTAGTTCCTCATTAAATAAAAAAAAACGATATCAGTCGGTAATTTGATTCTTATTATTAGAAAGAAGGTCACACAGTAAAATCAAAGAACATTTGAATACTGTTTAATGAGTTTTAACAGTCGGTTTATGATAAGCCACTCCCAGGTGCCTCAAAAACGGCTAGCACGAAGAATAACGTGAGAAAAGTCCGTGATTTCCTATTAAAAGACCACCGATTAAACATATGGGAGATATCAAGACTATGGATACCTCAAAAAAATCGCATGGGTCATATTTAGCATGAAGTATTGAACATGTTTACTCACTCCGGATGAAAAATGTAGCGTTTCTTAAGCATGGACGAAGCATGAATAGACTGGTATACATCAGAGATCAAGAAGACAAATGATTTCAGCGGCGAATATTCTCCGAAGAAAGAAGATGGCCACCTTTTTTGGAATTATTAAAATGCGTATCTACATCGACTACCCGTAGATGAAAAAATCGTCATAGGGCTCTACTACGCAGAATTATTGGGCGGTTTCTAGAAAAAGCGAACCGATGAAAGGAAGAATTAAGTTTTCTTCAAGCTTTCACGTTTTCTGACAAGCACCGGTTCACACTCTTCCCTCAATAACAGGGCCAATTTATCATGCTTCGCACTGTTGCTCCATCCATCCACCGTATCCTCTAGATTTGGCTCCTCCATATTTTTAAAGATCTTTTTAAAAACATTACCTAAATTATAAGCATGCATATACCTAACTTTATAACTTAACATGCTAAACTTATTCTATATGTGCTTAATGATCGACTAATTCCAGACTTCCTCGCTGCCATGACAGTGACGGACTGCAAGAGTACTTGGCAACTGTTTGACTCGACGCAGCAGAATTCAATACTACTGATTGCTATAACAGACGCCAATTGTCCGCGGTTGCCTTTAAATCGTGCTATTATGGTACAGGCATCAAATATACGAGGTTTTAGACATGACAAATGTAAAATAAATTCTGAAATTATGTTTCCAGATTCCCATAGTCGATGAGGGTCAGGAATTGTCGCAGATTATTTTAGACATTAAGGTGCAGCGTTTATTGCGTTGGAAGACAGCTGCTGTGCTACTCGATCAGACTATATGTGAGTCCATAAAAATTTTGAACTACCTACAAATTCACACACACCGTTCTTTTCCATTAAGTGAACGACAATCCCACATTGGTAGAGTCGGTGGTACACGAGAGCGCTAAAAATCACATTACACCTTTTTCGCTACTGTTGTACCAGATCGACGACACGCTGCGCAGTCAAAAGAAACGCACTGCTATACGGCAAATGCTGAACGCTTTTCAGGCCGGAGCACAAACGCCACGGCAATTTATTGTGTTGTCTAAATTCTGTGAGGATATTGTGGAAATCGCTGCGAACATGAAATTATTTCACGTTTACAATCAATGGGTTTTTTTTGTGTTGAACGAAGATCAACGCAATCATGATCCCATGTCAGTGACACAGAACTTGGAGGAGGGTGCGAATATTGTGTTCGCGTTGAACAAGACCAACCCGACTTGCAGCAGTTCCATTAACTGTACCATAACTGAGTTGTCATTGGCATTTGTTACGTCCATTTCACGTATGATCGTTGAGGAACAATCGATCTATGGCGAAATTTCCGATGAGGAATGGGAAGCGATCAGATATACCAAACAGGAGAAGCAGGATGAAATGTTGGGTTACATGAAGGTAACAAACTTGAATGAAGGTGACGTAGATAAGGATGCACATATGTATGTATGCAATCTATTTTCTATAGGAATATCTTAGAGAATACAGTAAGTGCACCAGCTGTTCCCATTGGAAAATTGAGACCGCACTAACGTGGGGCAAAAGCGAGGAGCATCGTAGATATCAATCAAATTTAGGTAAGTTGTCGAAATTATTTTGTAAATCACCCTCTGTCATTTCTACCTCATTTAACTTTTACCATTAAATACTTACGCAGAACTTCGTGACACACGTAATAGAAATTTCGAATTCATCGATGTTGGCTATTGGACACCTACTTTGGGTTTCAATACACATGAAGTCATGTTTCCACACATAACGCACTTCTTTCGCAATATCACCTTGGACATTCTAACAGCGCACGTAAGTTATAGCTATATCTCCATTTATCTATGCCTTGTAAAGCTTGCCACGAAGTGTAACACCCAGAAGAAGACGTCCGAAACCCTATAATGTGTATATATAAATGATCAGCGTGACGAGCTGTGTCAATTTACACATATCCGTCTATCTTTCTGCCCGGTTATACGCGAACCAGACCCTCAGTTTTTGAGATATCGATCTGAAATTTCGTGCACGTTATTTTCTCCACAATAAACTGCGCATTTTTCGGAATCGCAGATATCGGACTACTATAGCATAGAGCTTTCATTCAAACTGACCGATCAAAATCAAATTCTTGTATGGAAAACTTTTTTTTTGACAAGAAATCTTCACGAAATTTGGCATGAATTTCAAGATAACCCTACAATCTCACAAATTGTTCTGATCGAACCATTATAACACATACATACATATGTAGCTACCATTTAAAGTTAAATGCTTAGGTCTCATATTGGACTTCACCTTAGGGTGGAATAGACACGTGTGGAGTTAACACTGTCTAAAGCCACAATGGCACTCATGGTGTGCAGACGCCTGGCCGACAGATCTTGGGACTGCTATCCTAGTATCAGGTGGCTGTATACCATAATTGTGAGGCCTATCGTTACATATTTGTGGTTTGGGCAGCGAAAGCATCGCAGACTTCAATATCCGCAAAGATTGCGGGACCCCACATCAAGCTTTTCATACCCATGGGATGTTTTCCGAGCATCTTTCAAGCAGAAGTCTTTGCCATAAGTCAGTGTGTAACAATCAATCTCCAACGCAACTACGCAACGCCCGTTCTGCTGCAGCTTCTAACATGATGGGGCCAGAACCATGCATCGCGGTGGGGTTCCAAACCACAAAGGAGCTGCTCCGCAAGGAGGAGGGAGTGAGTAGAAAAAGTCGCTGGCAGCAAGCAACAGGTATGCACCACGCTTAGCTGTTATTGGGAGGGTAGAACCTAGCTAGGTTCAAAGTAATGACCAACCTCCCCAGAGACTTCCTGGTTCTAGATTGCACAGCAATTTATACGCGCAGGCTCAAGGCCCTCTGTTCCACTTATGTGGACAGGGATCACATTTCCTCAATAGCGCCCAGCAAGTTCCTGAAAATCATCGGAGTGCTGGGCCTTTGGGAAAACATGTGATGGAGAAGAGGGCACAATAGACCCTAGGTCGCGGTGCAAACCTCATACATATTCTATTCTGTTCTGTCTATAGCATTAGTTACTATAACAAATACACCTGTGATGCGCATCGGTGCAGTCGTAGTTGACGTTTTATCTTGATTTCTCTATATGTTTGCGTTATTTATAATTTATTGTTTTTGATTATCTAAATAGAGCCCTCCATGGCAAATTTTGGAACGTAACAGCCATGGCGACATCGTACGTCATAGCGGTATTACTATGGAGATTCTCAAAGAAATGAGCCGTATGTTAAATTTCTCGTATATTCTTCATGAAGTCAAAGTAAATGCAGCAGATTTGGCTGCAGAGGACATGCAACACACGAGCAATATAACAGTAATGTTTACATAGTATTACAACATACAAATTGTATTATTTTCGTTTACTTTTTTGATTTGTAGGACGACCTTTTCGGCTCGCTTACATTTGATATACCATACCAAGTCATAGAAACAATGCAGTCGAGCCGTGTAAGTATAAATGCCTTGAACTTAAAAATTCTACAACTAAGGCCTCACTTTAACAGTACTTTATGGCTGCCCTGGCTGCCACTATCGATGAACCAGATAAGAAGTCATTTAACTACACCGTGCCAATAAGCGTACAGATGTATACTTTTATCTCCCGCCAGCCGGATGAAGTGAGTCGAATTTACCTGTTTGCTGCGCCTTTTACGACAGAGGTAAGCAATGCAAAATAAGTAAAATGAAAATATTTTAACATTAACTGCTAACAGATTTGGGGCTGCCTGGTGGCCATTATTATAATCACTGCACCGGTGCTGTACTTCATAAATCGTTTGGTGCCTATGGACCATTTGCGCATAACCGGTCTCAGCACACTCAACAGTTGTTTTTGGTATATCTATGGTGCTCTACTACAACAAGGTAATAAATACCATGAATACAGCAACCATCTTTTAACTGACCGTATATATGTACATATTTTACCAGGCGGCATGTACTTACCCAAAGCGGATAGTGGTCGTCTTGTGATCGGTGTCTGGTGGATTGTTGTAATAGTGCTTGTGACGACATACAGTGGAAATTTGGTTGCATTTCTTACGTTTCCGCAATTTCAACCTGGCATAGATTACTTTTTTCAAATATTTTCATCTAGCTCTGGGCAACAATTTGGCTTGCGAAATGGCTCTTACTTTGAAAAGTATGCAACGGTAAGTGAATATCGTATGGGATTTTTCTTAAACATTAAAATATTTCAAATAGCAAATAACAACGCGCGATGATTTCCGTGACTATGTGCAACGAGCCACTATTTACAATAATATTCAAGGCGAGGATATTGGCGCAGTGCAGGATGGTAAACGCATTAACGTGGATTGGCGCATTAATCTGCAATTAATTATACAAAAGCAATTCGAAAAGTACAAAGAGTGTAAGTTCTCATTGGGACGTGACAATTTCGTTGCCGAACAAATTGGTTTAATTGTACCGAGAGATAGTCCATACCTACAACTAATTAATGATCAAATAACACGTTTGTTTCAAATGGGTTTCATTGAGCGTTGGCATCAAATAAATTTACCTTCAATGGACAAGTGTAGCGGTCATGGTGGTATGCGGCAAATTATGAACCATAAAGTGAATTTGGATGATATGCAAGGCTGCTTTATGGTACTTTTGTTTGGTATGATACAATGCACATTAACGCGTTCTTTCATTAGTTTAAAAATGTAATTTATTACAGGTTTTATTATAGCTTTGTTCATACTCTTTATCGAGTATTGGTATAAATGGTACTTCGTTGAGAAAAAGAAAAGCGTTTTTGCATCTTGAAGTGATACAACCAAGAATATATACAGCAAACGAAATTTCTCTTAATAAATATTTTTCAAAAACACTTGAAATATATGCAAACTATTTACGTTTTAACATTCCTTTGGTTTTAAATAATAAAATTCCGAAGCTCACATTCTTATTTATATTACTTTAATATAATTTGTTGGTAAAAATCAATTTCATTTTACACGTAAAAAACCAAACCCACAAAAACATATCAATTGTTGATAAGCTTAGTTCGAGTTGGCGTTGGGGCCACGACGACGACCGAAACCTTGCACAATGTTGACAAAACGACGGTTGTATTGGATTCTCCTCTTTGCACGGCCAGTCTTCTTCTTCTTCTTTTCTTGTTTCTCCACCTTAGGTGTCTGTCCCTTGACCTTACCGGCACGCGCCAAAGAACCGTGCACTTTACCACCCAACATTGGTACAGTGATATCCAACTCGAAGGAAGCCAAGGATGTCACGGCGGCATCATTGCACAAGGCATTGCCTTCACAATTCAATGTGATTTCCTCAGTGTTCAAACCATGGGCTTGAGCGATTTGTGCCTATAAGGAAATATACAAAATTAGCGTATACGAATAAAACACGAAAAGTAGGGTTAGAAATAATGGCAGTTGCCATTGTTCACCTGTCACCATCGATTAAGCAATTTTGTTACACACCTTAACTTCGGCAATAGTAGCAGTAGGCAGCACCTCAACGGGCTCTACGGTATCAAAACCACGTACGAACAATTGCATTTTGTGTTTTTAACTGCAAGTAAAACAAAAAATCTGTATTACATTTCACCACTTCCATATAGATTGACAGTAAAAAAAGAACACGTGTGCAAACAGTAATGTCATTTTATATGCAATTGCGCAAAACTTCTGATCAAATTTCATTATCATCGTATTTTTACGAGTTATTTACATAATTTTGAATCAAATTAAGTATATTTATTCGTATTTAAATAGGAAAATCTATTGAAACAAAATTCTCACCTTCACACTAGCGATGGATTCGCGTAAAAAGAAAGATGGCTGAGTTTCGAACATGTCAAAAGAGTTTCGAATAAGAAAAGTCAATTATTTCACACCAACAGAGTTGCATTGACAGTTTGGAATTAACCCAGAAAATTTTTTTCTTATTAACGCGATTAATCATTTCGACAAATTTTTTTAATATTATTTATAATAATATTTAAGTTATATAACACATATTTGTATCAGCTACGACTTAATATCGAAGAATTATATACAGATTTCATAACACATGGCATATAGAACAAGTATCCACCAATGCAACCCTGTATTGAGAAACTGAGTATGTTCAGTGCACGCTCCCATTCCGTATGTTTTCACGTATTTTAGCAATGTTGCCAGCAGTTCGTATTTTCAAACATTTTGGATCAACATATACGAAATTAAAAAAAAATTAATCTACGTAAATAAAAAATGCAAATAAACTTTTTAGGGTTTGAACTAAAAAATTATCAACTAATAGATTTTATTTTGTTTAACATATATTGTGTATGTATAAAAAAGAAAAAGTTTTGTTCTTAGTTCGGAGTGCATGACTTCAACTCGTTAACGCCTAGGTTCGAATCCAAACTTATCGACTTATTGAAATTTTGGTGTGAGAAGGCCGTGTTTATAATAACAAAAAACACACTAATTGATTAATTATAAATTAAAACTTAAATAATTTATACTTATTTCTTATAAATATAAAAAATTTAAGCGTTTCTTTGCTAATAAAAATATTATAAATATATATGTCTACATTATTATTTCAAATTTTTTTATTTAAACATTTGTTGTTAACCAGGGTCGCAAATAACGTATTAAAACAATTATTGAATAAACATTTGAAATAAATTTTTTATTTTATATTGTGATCGCAAATACAGGATTAAAAATAAACAAAAAAAAATTTTTTGATCCCACTTACCATATTAAAAAATAAATTTATATTAAAATTTTAATCGCAACTACCGGATTGAAAATTAAAATAAAAATTTACAATTAACATTTTTTCGAGTTCATTCAAATCAAGAGTGATATTTTCAAATAAATTTTACTTTTAATCCCAATTTTTTTAATTAAAGATTCACAACCCTGTTGTTAACTAACTAACAAACTTAATAAAGTATTAGCATTTTAATTAAATGTTAATAATTAAATAAAACACAATTTGTATAAATAATTATCACTTTATTTATATGTTTCTTTAGTTATACCTTATATTAGTCTGTCAATCGACTTTAATGTCTATATTTAGAAAAAATCAAAGTATTATCTTCTCTTGATCGCGTGGACGATCATGGCCAAGCATAAAATGGCTTAGAACTCTCACTATTATTTAGTTTTTATATATAATTTTGATTTTACGTACACCTTTTAAATAAATTGTTTATACTGTTCTCAACATACAACATTTACATATGTATATTCGCCATGGATAAACCATAGCGGAATTAGGCGAATAACTGGAAAAACTCACAATTTTTGTACAGTTAGTTTTATCGCTTGTTTTATTAATTTAGCAATACATTTATTTACATATTCTTATTACTTAATATTAAAGAAAATACACAAACAATTTGGCTTGACAATTGCGCAACTTTGGGTAATAAATAAAATATTCTTTTAAGCACATGTATTTGAATATATTATTAAGTAAAATTAATTTGCCCATTAAGAAAAAGTTGCTAAATAAATTATTAGAAACTAAGTGAAGGCATTCTAAGTTGAAACAAAATTATTTATATATTTTATTTTATTATTAAATTAATTTGAAGTAAATGTGGTCACACTAACCCGTGAAAAAAACACCGCATAACTGTTATGAGATCTGAATATATATTTATATAATATATGTATGTAAACTATATAAATTATTTAAAGAATTTTTGGAAAAGTAACGATTTTTTTTAAGCAAAATGCCATACAAGTGAAGTTTTACACGAACCTCCGAAAGTATATATGTATGTTAAAAAATAACTGAACTAACAATTAAAGCAACAATTTAAAATCTTAATTAAAAATAATCTTCAAAATTCTAATACCAAATACCGAATCGAAAAATAAAAATAAATTTTTCAATCGCAATATCGGATCGAAAATTAAAAATTTAATTTTAATCCCAATTACCAGATTGGAAAATAAAACAAAACTGTTTATTCCAAGTTTGTAATAAAAAAAATTGTTTTTAAATTAACATATTTTCGCGCTTGCGTACAATACATTTTTAAATAAAGCTCGCAGAGCCATCATCTTCAGTACTCTAGAGCAGTGTCGGCAAACTTACACATTCAAGAATTTATAAATCAAATTTTCAGTTTCTAATACCAAAATCAGAATTAAAGATTGAAAATCTACCTGCATATAATCGAGTAAGAATGCTAAGTTCACTTTTTCAAATATTGCCAGAGGAGCAATCATTTCAAAATTGTTAAAAAACAGAATTTTTTTATACTGCATCAAAATAAGTTTTATAAAAATATTTTAAGACAAAAATAAAATTGTTATTCAGTTAGAAATTTAGATTAGAGCGGCAAGCAAACAAATTCAAAACAAATTATTTTAAATAACTTTATAACTTTTTGTTATATTTTATATATATTTAATATATTTTTAACTATTTAGCCAGCAGAAGTCAAGGCAATAACTTTCTTTAAAAAAAAATTAATAATATTTGCATTAAATAAAACATTTTTAACAATTTATCGCGTTATAATGCTTTCAGTGTTCTCATAGGTATTCTGGTGTATACAAATACATATGTACATATATGAACATACGTGAAAATTCTTGTTTTTAATACTCGGAAAACTGTATATGCGGCGTTTTCCGCAGCTAGCGCAGACCATATTCGAGTGAAAGTAACGGGCAATAGCGTTTAAACGAAATTTATATGTAGGTATATATGCATGTATACATATATTTTTGTGACTCAGTCCAATTTAATTTGTAGTAATTAGAACTATTAAAATTAACAACAACAATGCGCTGTGACCCCGTAAAAAGTCATAGCAACATGACGACACCCAAGGCGCCACCAATAAGAGCACCATACGTGCTTGACTGCCACCGATCCAGCGGATCGTACCAGCTAGCAAATGCTAATGTACAAAATCGTTGGGTATATAGTGATGATGGGGGTCAACAATGACGCTGGTGTATTGCGGCTGCACGCTTACGCCCTTCTCCACGGCGACGGCAAAAGAGCGTGCAATATGCTCATGCTGTTGCTGTTGTTGTTGTTGTTGCTGTTGTAGTTGTTCATGATCGTGTTGCTGCAGTTGATGAGCAACCAGCGTTGTTTGATGATGCTGATGCATTTGTTGGTGCTCCATTTGTTGTTGTTGCGGCTGCGTCTGTGACGTCGCTGGCTGTTGCAGCGTAGCAATGTGACTGGACGCCAAGGTTTGCTGCTGCAGCTGATGTGTTTGGTGATGATGCGTATGTTGATGATGCTCCATAGATTGTAGGTGATGTTGTTGTGGTTGCTGCTGTTGTGTGGTCGGTGGTCCTGCCAAAGCGGCCTGTTGATGCGAGCTGCTGTCCGACAGGTAGTGCAATTCAAATGTGTGACTCAACTCGCTGTACGTCGTCTGCGGCGAATTGCCCGTTATAATCGATGCATTTCCGGTGGACATTTGGCGCTCGCTCTCCGCGCTGCTCGAACAGCTGTTGGAGTTCGCCGAATACGGTCGATTGAGTGAGGTGGCTGACGGCGCCGCCTCGTAGTAGTAGTGTTCACTGCCAGAGTTGTTATTGCTATTGGACGCGCCGACACTGCTACCGTAGTACGGGCCGGTGGTTGTGTCCGGGTATTGCATTTCGTGACCGAGTGTCGATGAAGTGACCACGAGATCATTGATCGGCGGGAAGAGTGTTGTATAGTTGAGGTTTTCGTGTTGCGTTTGCGGTGGTAGCGGCACTTCGTGAGCATGCGCGTGTGGATGCACGTGATGTAGTTGATGCGTGTGGTGTGTGTGCACATGCGCATTCGGATGTGCATGCAGATGCCCGTGCTGATGATGCGGCAGTTGCGTGTGCATTATATGTCCCGTCATATAGGCATTATTGTTGTTATTATTGTGCGCTACGCCGTTGCCGCCGCCGCCGCCACCACTGCTGCTGCTGCCGCCAGTCAATACCGGTGTAAGCACGTTAGGTGGTAGGTGTACGCCAGCACTCTCATAACACGCGTCCAATTTGGGACTCACGCTGAGCGCCGCGCAACTCGGTGAACTGCCAACTGCAATGCCATTGCTTAGCGCCGGGTGTGTGACGGCGGCAGCTGCGTGTGCCGCATGCAAAGATGGCGTCAACACAGTCGAAGCGGTGATTGGCTCGCTCTTAACCACACCCGTTTGTATTTCATTGAGAATCAAGTCTTTGGCCTCTTGTTCACTGAAAAGGTGGTTGGAAACAAAAAACAACAATTAATGAAGGAGTAATTAGAAAATTTTGAAAGGTAATAAAGGTTGTAATTTAAAAAAATATGCAATATTATATTAATAAATACTAAGCTCTCAGTGGATATCCGAATCATCAATGAAAGAAATAAAAAATATTCGATTTTAACTGCATCAAAAGTGCTCGTTTCCAAATTTTTAACAGTTTTGTAAAAAAAAGTAATCTTGATGGAATCGAGGAAAAGCTAATCCATGAACATTTGTAGTTGAAGTAGGAGATTTTGAATTATTTTCTCTCATGATTTTCCTTACTCTGGGACATATCTTAAAATGGAATAAAAACTATTTAGTTAATGTTATTTACATAAATATATTCATATATAAGGGAAGGAACTTCTACAAGTTTTAAGCCTTTTCCGAACGAATGATCATATTTAAAAAAACCATTTTCTTTTTGTTAGGCTTGCGGATTTGCTTTTGCCGTGCTGCGACTTTTGTATATTGAAAAAAAAGTAGTTTAAATAGAAAAACCCGGCACCACTGGTAACCAGGCCATGTAGAAGAGGTATAAAAATTATTACGAATACGCTTTCTATATTAGAAGGGGTTATGCCTAGTTAAAATTTTCTCCAATATACATACATACATATGCTGTTGATCCGATAAATATTTTCGGAGAACGTTTTTGTACCCACGCACACAGTATGTCTCTTCAAAATTCTGTGAGCATAATTGATTTGATTTGAATTTTATACATAATACTTAGATATGGTTATGAACAAGGAAATATTATTTTTGACGCAAAAAAAATTTTTTGGGTAAGCCGCCTTTTTGCGAATAGTCGAAATGTTGACTATTTTTGCATTCATTAGCTGTATTTAGTTATACAATAAATCCTTTTTATAGCATAATAGGGTATAAAAAGATCTTTATCTTGATTTTATTCGATCAGTTTGTAATAATAGTGGTCCGATATCGCATTTACCAACAAATGAGAGGCTTCTTGAGGAAAAAATCACTTGTGCAAATTTTCAGATCGATATCTCAAAAACTGAGGACCTAATTTGCATATTTACCGACACTCGGAACAACATGGCTAAATCGACTCATCTTGTCACGCTGATCTTTCATATACATATGTATGTATGGTATATGCTTTGTAGGATCTCCAACGTTTCCTTCTGGGTGTTACAAACTGCGCGGCAAATTTAATATACCTTGTTTAGGGTATACAAATTGCGGGGTCTTAAAGTACGTTAAATTTTCTAAATCTACATATATTTTTGGTATATTGATGTATCAAAATCTTCGCACAAAAGTCCGGATAAAACAAATTTTTAGACTTACTACTAAGTATAAATTCATAAACTAAACTTCCAAAAAATTCTTCATTCGACCGTAGTATATAATGAATATACCACATACAATACATATATCGGACATGGAAATCTCAAAATTAATCGATTATACTTCTAAGAAATATGTATATATAAATATATATATGTATATATGTGCATTGCTTTAAAATATCGTGGAGCGAAAAAATTTTTTTTTTATCTTAGCCTGGGGTAAAATTTGTAGATTATAAAAAATTAAAATATTTGGAAAAAAAAAATTTTAAAATTTGAATTTCGAGTTAAAATTTTTTTTGGTTTAAACTCTTCACATTTATATAAAAATTACCGATTTCGAAGGTTTTTGACTCAAAATTTATTTTAACGCTTAAGGAAAACATGTTGTCGTTTAAGACTTTTTTTCAAAACTCCATAATGATCACAAAAAATTTTTTTAAGTTAATAACTTTTAATTGGACAGAAAGAGGACTCTTAACTCTTAAAAAAAATTGTAACTCGAAATTTACTTTAAAAGTGTGTGGGTCCCTAGATGTTAAAAAAAAATTTTTATAAGCTACAAATTTTACTTTCAGGCGAAGCAAAAAAAAAAATTGTTGCGCTCCACCCTAGTAACTATTCACTCTATTCAATTACAAAAAAATATATTCCCTACATACATATATATAAAATCCTCGTCCAGCATTTACTAGCACATATAAAGCGTAGTAATAAAGCACTATATATGACAATAGCAATATGCCACACGATATGAAAAATATTTTCCTGCTGCAAAACTACTCGGCGCAATCACAAAATCCCTTCATAACAAAACAATCCTATTAAAACACTTCAGCATGGCCAATATTTTTCCAGCGCCAACGTTTCGTAATCCACCCGTTATTGGTTGGACTTATCCGTATTACTCAACACTATTTCCGTAACACACATACACATGCAAACATTTACTATATACCAGCATTGAACTCACCTAAGCACATAATTTACGCTGACGATGCAGTGAGTGCGCGAGGAGCGTGTGTTGTGCACCACGGTCGCGTACGACTGCACCCAGACCCAGCCGCCGCCCTTCGTCAGGAAGCGGTAGTATTTGGTGGTGACTTGTCCCTTGTATACCACTGCAATAACGGTACATGTAAAATACAATGCAAATTAGTTGAAACAACAAAAGCGTGTTGTAGAAAAATAAATAAATATTGTAAATGCGTTGAAAATGAATTGAAAGGATTTCAATATAATTTGCTGGGAATTAAACGATTGTTCCTGGTTATAGTGTGATTCGCTTTTTTATTTGATTTGTATTATTATTTTAAATAAAAACATTGTACGGCAGTCATGACACACGCTTCCCAAATATAATACTTACGTGTTTGGTGTGCGCAGTTCATGGCTCCAATGTCCGCAACGTGTATATACTGATAGAGGGTTTTCTCTATGAGGTCTTGCGGTTCATAGCCGGTGAGTTGGGATACTCTGGAAAATTTAAATGCATACGTACATTTTTAGTAAGTTAACAGTTCACTTTTAAGTTTCAGAAAATACTTTAAAATTAAAATAATTTTAAAATAAAATTGTAAAGATTGCCCACACCCGCCCAGCCATATGACGATTGCAGCTCACATGACGTACGTATTTTTTTTCGTCGTGTCTTCATATGTAGCAGGTTATCGATAACTTCTTATGTGTGGAGACTAGCGCAAGTATACCTAGTAGTCGCTAGTCAACCGTATGCCAAAATTTACAATATGCATGACATCATCGGCAACTGAATAGCCAATATTCAGTGTCAAAATCGGTCTGACGAATGACTTGTACTATATAATATTTGTCAGGAGACTTTCCATAGCTGATATATCAGTAAAAAATGTCTAGAAATCAATTAACTGAAAGTAGGTCAACTTCATAATATAATATAATATTTCCCTTTGCATTGGCTCAAGCGGTTCAGAATGAGTTAAATATACAAATTATAAAATATGCGTTGGCTACTTATTTACAGAAACTGTTTAACGCGTACTTCATAATTTTTTAAACCCAACTTGTTCTACCATTTTTTCATGATCACAATTCCATGAAACCCGCGAAAAGTTTCAGATTTTTATGAGAAGCTTTAAAGTAGATCAATCTACATATGTATGTACATCGAAGCTGTAGATAAGAAGACCCACCAAACCTTCTTTAATATATTTTCAATTAAGCTATCTAAAGAATACTTGTATATTAGTCCCACAACGACCGATAGTTGCGATTCTTTTCCCAGAAAACCTTGCATCCGCATAGAACATGTTTTACAATATCTATCTCTTCTCTATTCTCTGTTCTCTTGGCAGTTGCTACAGTAATCGGTGTATGCTACCCCCAGTCTGCTGACGTGTATTCCAATAGGAATGACCTATTAGCACTCCTACTAGGGATCTTATGTCATTGTTTTTGTATTTTAACAGTCGGCATGTGCGGCACATATTCCATTCATGCCACGTTTGTCTGCTTGTTGAACAAGTTAGGTATTGTTGCCACCGACACCCAGCTATATATATACCATGTTTGTCGATTAAATATCTACAAGCAGCCAGAGGCATAAATAATCCCTCTTTATCTGAGGCAAATTGTAGGGTAATGCCTGATCTAGCCTGTTCATCTACTTGGAGTTACCTGGATTATCACTGTGTTTTGCAACCCATTGCAGGTTTATCGTAAAGTAGGAATAGAATAATTCCACATAACACAGTCAAAAATACAACATAAATATAATGGCAACAATTTCCTACTGGTTAAGAGTAATTTTCAAAGAGTTTTCCTACATACTAAAATAATTTCCGAGCGATAACTACTACATACCTACTCACACAATTTGAGCGAAAACGCCATTGTCATTTTTTGACAGACAAGACCTAAAACATCATCATGAGGGTAATTGAGTGTTGGTAATAACCAGACGACGGCAAACGACGACTGGTAGATGCCAAAAACTTCCCCAAGCTTATCCATTTCAACGAAATTTTCTACATTTTTATCATCTGGTTGCCGTGAAAGAAACAAAATCACAATTCCCAACAACTCCAGCCATTCAACTGCCGTTACGTTACTTCTGATACTGCTGAGCATAACAATATTGCAGCACTTACCATAGTTGAGAGGGAAATGGTTTGTTTTGCCGTTTTGTTTGCTCAGTCAAAGTGGGTGGATGAGTGGCAAGTGGTTGATTGGAAGGCAAGGCTTTTTTATAGACATTGTCTCTTATTATAACAACATATATGTATACAGTTATTTTTTATCTTTGATTCCACGTCTATTGTCACAATGACAATGGAAAGTGTCGCTGTTTAATATTTTAATATTTGTTCGGTTTTATATTTCTAGTGCGAGCTCTAATGAAATGGTGGACACACAATATTAATACGCATAATTGCCTCTTTATATTGCACTGTAATTTAATATTTTTTCACAAATGATTACATTACATGTACACACATTTATTTGTGTTTGGTAAAAATTGGAAAAAATCTTTGTTTTCACAAAACATGTTTTTGAGATGCAGCAGCTGTCTGTTTACAAAAAATTTATATCCTAAAAATTGTTTCCATTTAGTTCATAAGCAGCGTATAGGCGAAGCAAAAACACTATGTCAAAACTTTTAATCAGCATTCTTCCTGCCGGTTTTCAGTTAATAATGATTCTATATGGTGATTTCAAAACATTTTTTATGTTAGCTTGAAGAAAGGTTAGGTTGAATAAAAGAGATGCTTACGAATTCAATCTTATAATGTAAATTATAGTGGAGCAGTTAACAGTAGTGGAAAAAATTGCTTTTGATGTTTATATAACCTAAACAGGATCGCTCTGTTTGTCTCTCCGTCTGTACATACCCGAACTAGTCCTTCGGTTGTTGATACATATATTGATCTGAAATTTCGTACACTTCCTTTTCTCAACAAGAAGCTGCTCATTTGTCGAAGCCACCGATATCGGACCATCATAAGATAAAGCTGTCATACAAACAGCACGATCTAAATGAAGTTCTTGTAAGGTAAACTTTTTTATTTGACAAGATATCTTATATATAACGCTTTTCTTATAATTTTATTTCCAATTAGGAAGCAACATTCATGAAAAAAAATTCAAATATCTCGCTATTCGCCCTAACCTAAAATTCTCTTACGCTTAGGTTTTTGGTAGAAAATATTGTGTTACACGGTGACATAAGCCAATAAGTGGTTTTCGTTTTTCGATCAGTGTTTCATATTAGAAAGACACCATCGTTTTTGATATTATTGTTGGAAGACATGATTCAACTTAACAAAAGTTGATACAATGCGCTTCCACCAACTTACAAGTATTATTAATTTCAAAAATTCGCGCACTAACCTCGCATCTAAAAATATCAGTTTCAGATCCATACACGCCCGAAACATAAACATGTTTGTGTGTAGTTTAATTTCCGTTATCGCAGACGAAGGCAGAGAATGGCCCACAGCTACAAGACCCAAATTTTGTATATAACCGCCATGACCATCGCCATAATCAGGAAATATGCGCGCTTTCAAGTAGCCAGAGCAGTGGATAACCTAAAATTTACAAATTTTTAATAAAAATTCTATAGAAAAATTAATAAGAACAATACAAAAATCCTACTTACCTTATAACCAGATGTTGTGAGTCCAGCGTTCCGTTTCGCCAACACACACTTCATGCGCAGGAAGAAGGATTTTTGCAATTCGATGGTATGCGAACCACGATCATTGCCGTAGCTGCCATTCGGACTGCCGATGACGTTCGCATGGCCGGTGGGTGGATTGCCGCTCTGTGGTAGATGTAATGAATTAATAAATGCATCCTAAAATGCCAAATGACAACAGAATGGAAAGAAGAGAAGCCGAGAATCAGTACACAAGCATACATACATACATTTATGCATATATATACTGAAAAATGGCGAAAACTAAATAACTTACCGGATTTTGGTACATATAAGGATGCATTGAGAGTATAGCGTTCATCTCATCGTGATCATGGTTATGTATATACTCAAATATGGAATTGCCAGTAAGTTCAACCTGTGGACAGAGAAAGAGTGGGAGAAAATAAAAATTGAGTATAACATTTTAACATAATAATTGAAATCATACTAAAACTTCTGAAGTTGGTGCTATAAAAATTAACTTTTCAAATATAATATAACATACATACATATGAATAAAATTATACCCTGAAAACGGTATATTAAGTTTGCCTCGAAGTTTGTAACACCCGGAAGGAGACGTTGGATTCTCTATAAAGTATATTTGTATGCACTTATATATTAAAGATCAGCTGAGTCGATTCAGCTATGTCCGTATGTCTGTACGACTGTCTGTATATACGCGAACCTCTTCGTCATTTTTAGAGATATCGGTCTGAAATTTTGCACACACCCTTTTCTCATCCAAAAAGCTGCTAATTTGTCGGAATCTTCGATATCGCCTGAGCAAAATCAACTCCCTGTATGGAAAACTTTTTTATTTGACAAAATATCATCACAAATTTTAGCATAGATTATTGTCTTAGACAATGCTACAAAGAAATTGTTCAGATCGGACCATTATAGCCTATAGCTGCTATACAAACTGACCGATTAAAATTAAATCTTTGTATGCCCTTTATGCTATTCGAATGCACCTGTGAATGGTATTATTATTATTCGCTACAGCCGAAGTTGGCGTTTTTCTTGTTTTTTTTTTTGTTTTTTTATTGCGCGTTGCTCAGAAATGCAAATTTGCGGAAACTGTAAAGGAGCATCTTCAGAACACAAAATTTGCATACTTGGAGCAGATAAGAGGTTATGAAATAAAATTATGTGCATAAATAAAGCTTTCCAACGGTTTCTTTTACTTATTCCCTACACAGTGTGTCGAACAACTTACATCCCTTGGCTAAAGTATTGTCTTCAAATTAGTAAATTTTTATATAAATACAAACGTTAGCTTAATGACTTGCGCTATTTAATTTTCTTCATTTTTTTTAGCTTTTCCTTGGGCGAGACTTGGACTAAAGTATATTAAATGGTTTGAGTATTCAATGTACTCGTTTAAAAATACTAATTTCTAATTTGAAATGAGTCTTTCTGAGGCCTTTCCGATTTGTAAAATTTTAAGTTTAATTTATCGCTACAAACTCACCTGACTGAGACCTAGCTGTACGGATGCCGTTTCGGAGATGTACATAATTTTGCCATCCGGTGCCACAACGAATATAAAACCGTCCAATGTTTGCAGCAAATGTGAGCCAAGCTCTTTGATAGCGCCGCGTTGCATTGCCGGTGAAGTGCCCCACGCCTCACCCAAACCTAAGTGAAAAAGAATACAACGAAAAAGTATAAAATTTATATAATAGTGATGATGACAAAAGAGAAGACTACAAAATAAGGTAAAATACATACAACAACGACAACAAAGCGAAAAAGTCACTTTTAATGAGTACAAAAAGGTGCGACGTAAAACGTATGCCACAAGCTCAAAGCCATATACGTCGCCCACCACCGGCAAACGCCCCACTTCTCTCTCACACACACACACACAATTGCAATTCTGCGAAACTTTGCTCTTACAATTTACCAACCCATGCTGACGTATAAATATTATTCCCAATTAAAGTCATCAGCACAGTGGGATACAGCGGCAGGCTTTTGTGTCACAATACAACGGGTGTTCCCAGAGTACACGCGACATTGCGGTGATAGCTACCGACAGTGGGAGAGGAACAAAATCACAGCAAACCAACCACCCACCGTCAAGATGTGAGCTGATACTCAAAGGCAGACTGAGCTCATACGCGACAACTGGTTCTCACAGGACACACACAACTTTGCTATAAAGGGGAAAGGGGCAGATACGAACCCATACCAAGTGGGAATGTGGCAGAAAACGAAGAAGGACGCAAAAAACACCATCAAGGTAGAAAAAATAAAAGTGTTATGCCTTGTTTTTTATGACAACGCTGTTGTTGTTGTTGTTGCGAATGCTGGCTTTTTGTAGCTGTTGTAGTATGTATGCGATTCTTATAGTTAAAGCTAATGCTCCGTACGCCTATTTGCTTGTTTCGCCTGATTTGAGTCATTTTCTGCTATGTTATTTTTGTTGTAGTGTTTCTTTTATTTCCACGAGTATTTCTTCTCAAGCATTATTGAAATAATTATTACAATAAAAAGGCACAAAGGAGGACGAAAGAAAAAGTAAGATAAAAAATGTCTTCAAGTTGCATATCCACCCCCACTTGGCTTTAGCTTCCGCCCTTTTGATATATACTCGTATACATACATACACATATGTATACTTGAAGAATAAGAATAAGACGGGTATTGAATAAGTGTTGCAAATGTGTTACATATGTATGTATGTTTGAAGATCTTGTGCTTTGTTAACGCGTAGACTTTAGCTCAGCAGAATTCTTCCCCAATATAAGAATGTGTGTGTGTATGTGCACTAAAAGTTGGATTATGAAAAACTGTGTTGGTGTGTGTGACTTGCAATTGTGCGATTATGTGGGCGTGTATTATACGATTGAGGGCATATTCTCACTCCTTTACTTCCGTTCGTTCTAAAATAGACGTATTTTTTATTTAACTTAAAATCATTCTTCGAAGATTGTAGCTTTACTTTGAACAATAAATCATGCCGTAATGCGTGAAGATATCTTGTCAAATAAAAAAGTCTTGCATACAAGAACGATCGGTCAGCTTGTATGGCAGCTTTATGCTATAGTGGTCCGATATCGGTGGTTTCAACAGATGCGTCGCTTATTCAGGTGAAAAGAGTGTGAACAAAATTTCAGATCGTTAACTCTAAATCTGAAGGAATAGTATATACAGACAGATAGAAGAACGGACAAACAGACAGACGAACATGGTCGAGTCGACTCTACTCGGCACGCTGTTCAGTTATATATACACTTTATAAGGATAATGATGACGATTCCTTTTGGGTGTTACAAACTTAAAGTTTCTCGACTTTTATACCCAAAAGTATATTCCAGGGTATATATACAGATATTATTATATTTTTTTTAATATTTAATATTTTACTTTTCATAGATTTACAATTTAATTTTCTAAAATTTGCTTAGCGATCAAATAGTTTTTGGTCGAATGCCCGCCCGGCAGATGTGAGATATCTCCTTGGAAAATTTCAGCTCCGTTTTATAACATAAAAACTTTAAACCTAACCTCGAAACGTCAGATACTTTTTGGTATTTTTACGCAAAGCTTGAAGTTTATAACCCCAACAGCTTCATTAAGTTCAAGTAAGTAAACAGGAAAATGCAATGGTTTGCACTTCATTGACTTCTTTCACACTGAGCTGGCGCTTGTGAAAGCAATCCTACCATAATTATAAATCTACAAAGAACATACTCAAGTATTACTTTAGCTAACCAAGTCTTCCGCCCAATTTCCCGCCGTAAAATATCCGCTATGCGACTTTTACACTCCCAAAAATGAGACGTCCTGCTGCGCCTTGTAACAATTACAATCGTATTAACTTGGGAATGCATATTTGTACATACCAACAAAAATATGTCTCACATATACACATACTCTCTCATCACGGCATTAACACTTCATTTAGCATAGCCGGCAGGAATTCGCCCGGTTAGCGCGGCTCGTGCCGCATGCTGCATGAGTACGCGTCGTCGCCCACCACCTATGATCCTGACGTGTGTCGCTGTCAAACGGTCAGTGAAAACGAGCACAAAGCGAGACGTCATTGAGCTTTGACAGATTTTTTTTTCGTTATAAGGTAGTACAATGCCGTATAACAGTCGCACGCCAATCGTTCCAATTATAGTTTAATGAAAACAACAACACACTTCCAATTGTTGGTAGAGGCAAAACAAAACATACGTAGTAATAATAATAATCGTGATTGGTACATTAAAGAGGCCAAACTTTTTTTGTGCGAACTTAATTGGGGATTCAAAACAGCACACTTTGTAAGCGTCCGATAAATAGAACAGAGTAAACCGAACGTTAGACGTGTGTGAAAAAGCTTTCGTAGACTGCTTACCTAAATTTATGCAAGTCTTACTCAATAGTTCCCGTTCAATTAAACAGAAAAATAAGTTTTGACTTGCTAATAGTATGTTCTTCGAGCTGAAAGATTCCAGTGGCTGTAAAAATCAAACTAAATAAATAAGATTATTGAGACTAGAGCGGTATTAACTGCTGAGATTCTCATCAAAGGGCAGGCGGGGAAGGACCAACAAGCTCCCAATCACAAACGACTCTCAAATACCCGAAAACAGGGATAAAGGGATGCCCAACTTATTCCAGTGTGAGAGCGCCTCACAATTAACGTTTTTTATAACATTTTGTAGCCTGATCAGTCAAAATAAAAATTGTTGGGCATTTAAATTAAAACACCCAATACTTATTAAGATTAATAATTATTATATATATATCCTTTTAATACATAAAGAAAATATTTAAGTCCTTCTTTGTGACTTTGCAATACATTAAATCAATTGATTTTTGAGCTTTCAATACTTAATCGAAAAAGTTAATGTATTAGCACATTAATATATGTTTTATATAATTTTCAATTGAAAATTAATACTACTAAGCATGGCATCTCAAAAAATTTCTTCACAAACATTTCAATTTCGCGTTTTCTTAAATGCTCATATTTTCCAATTTTTGTTAGTGATCCTCAACAGCGGCAACAAATCTCTCTATTCACATTTTTTTTTGGTTGGATTTCAATCTGCCCGTTTCTTTTTTTCCAATTGCTAAACGTTAAACATTCTGAACTTTGACCGTTGCCTGAGTTCAGGAATTTTTGACGTTTAGCAATTGCTCTCTCTCTTTCCAGTGAGAGATGAGTTGGGCATATCTTTATCTCTGCCCGAAAGCTTATGTTGGGGTCAGAAAAAATCTATTATTTTATTTGATTGCTCCCATATCTGAGCTTCTTTAATTTAAAAGCCATTTTAAAACACATTGTCCTATTTTTTTTGGAAAATTGCATTTAAGTTAAAATTTGGTTTGAACACATAGTTTGAAATGCGGAACATACCAGTCGAAAATCACTCTTAACTGTTGTGAGTGTTACAATATGAACTACAAATCTTTATAGGTTAAGATTTAGGTATTGCAATTTGGTCAGCAAAAGTTTAGACTCTAAACCTAAGCGTTGAACAACTTTTTTGAGCTAAGAGAAAGAGAGAGGGAGAGAGATAGAGAGATTTTAAGAGTGAATTACACGTAAGACGTGAGCAGATCGTTGGTATTAAGCAGTGGATCTTCCTACCATGAGCATAAAGGGGTCAGGCCAGCATAAGTTGAAGTATTTAAGCTTTTAGTTCTCTCTATTCCTCGATTACAGAAGAAATTAGTTACTCAATCCATACTTTTTAATAAACGATGCAAATATATAAATATGAATGTATTTGTTCCAGTTACTTCTCTTCCCAATATCATGAATAATGCTTTTACTTTGTTGAGAGCCGTATACTCACCATCGGGAAAGACTTGACGCATTTTTAGATACGATGTTGTTAATCTTATAATGGACGCTTTGTCCAACTGTGATGTAATTGCACTTGGTAGTGGTAGTAATTTGGCCAATTCGAAGAATTCCGCATTTTCCTTTTCACGTCTAGTACGAGCGGCATTTTTACTCTTCTCCTTCATGGCACAGGATTTAGCTAAGCCTGCAAATAGAAGCGTTGGAAATCCAAGTTATTATCGGTGCTCACAATTTTCTTAAAAATAATATGAACATATATTATATATAAAATAAACATATACATATAGAAATATTATATATTGTAGATATAGCAACACGCACTTGTTAAACTGGGTCGATTTCGCTCGGTTAAAATTTTTCGCTGGAATATCATTTTCACATGGACACTACTATATATAACTCTTATTACTATATATCACTAGCAAATTTATTGTCTGCCACTTTACTCATTCCTCGGAACGTTCTTGACTGTCTTAAAACTAATTTGTAACTGTTTGGGATTAGAAAATGTGCCAGACTTTTAAGAAGTCACACACTTGCACTTTGAGTTTTTGGATATTCCACTCCAAAACAAGTGCATTTACCTGGCCATCATTGCGTCGGCTATTGGTCGCCTGACAACAACTACCTGTATTTACTATAAGTAACAATAACATAATTCACAAGCAAGCAAGTGAAATTGTTTTTGCCAGCCAAATGCTCAGATTTGTACTCACATTCGTACATATGTAATTTTTGGTTCATTCTCAAAGTCAAGCCAATTGACTTCTGTGCAGCATAATGGTGCGCATTATGTCCAATCTCAAAGCAATCCATATTACCGACATCCGCCCATTCATGCATCCGCACTCGCCGCACCATGCATACCTGCGCTCGTTATTGATTGGCATTAGCAGCAGCAGCAGCGATTGCAAGTCGAACGTAAAATTTTATGAATGAATTCTGCACACAATACACACACACACGCCTGTACGCATAGATATAATATTAGATACAGATACATCTTGTCTTGCATGGCATGAAAGGTGCGCGTGGCTCCGTTGCGCTTGCCTGGCTTTAACTGCTTTTGTGGGCGTCTTGTTGTCTGCAAAATTTTTCTTTTTTCTACCTCAAGCAAATTGCTTGTGGACAACAGGTTGTTCGCTACATGTAAGCGTGCACATATGTGTCTATGTATGTGTAGTATAGAAACTATATGATTTGAAAAATATACATATATGTATATAAATATTTGTTTTTGTTATTTTTGTGCAGTTTCTACTTAGATGTGAAACAATAATAACAAGGGCGGATAATTGACTTTACTGTATGTTTTTGTTATGCATTCAAATTAATCGCACAATCAGTAATACATATGCACCTATTATATACATACATATGTATATATACTTTGTGATGTTTGAGCTCCTGAGAATCTCATTTAGCCACATGCAGTTGCAGTTGAACATACACACACACATTATATATACATGCAAATACATACATTTGTATATAGTATGTGCATCTTTTCTATTTTTCCAAAAGACCACCAATGAGTATTGACAACTAACCTCGAATAAGTTGGCATAAATATGTGAATTTCCCAGAAATTTCCCAATGAATTTCATAGAGTAACATTGTTGTTGCATTTGCATGCATTTTTCTTTATTGATTGACTTCACTGGTCGTACGTGATTTTAGTAAAATTTGCAAAATTCTTGATACGCCTCCGATTTCTATTTTTCTTAAAGTAGCAGATGTTCAATGTGCGCTTGGCTTAGCGTTTACGGTACATATACTCCAGATACATTGTAGGTATGATTAATAATGTGGGCCGAAATGCCATTAAATTCCCAAGAATTGCTGTTAAAGTCATATTTATTCTGATATATGTAAATACTTAGGAGTTTTTAAAGGAATTTAGTCAATGAATAATTCTTTGTAAATAATTAGATCATAACTGAACTAAGATATTGTTCAATAAATATGACTTTAAAAGGTAAAGAGTTTATTATTTGGTTTTGTATGAAATAATTATTGTTTAATTATATTCAAAATAGTAACGTATTGAAAACAGTTTGCTACTGTAGTGGCATATGCAGCTTGAAGTCTATTAAGCTATTTTACCATCGAGTTCAGGTTTACCTCAGGAATACCAAAACATTGAACAATTATTAAGTGTATAAATATGTATGCATTAATTTTGCTCCATTTAAAACGATGAGCTATGTCAATACCTAATTTCAGGCTTTAAAAAGTTTAAGAGTGTGTAAATCAATTTTTCCACTACGGCTTCAAAGGCGCGCGTATGTAGTTTCAATTTTTAAGAGAGCCCTGGTTTGCTTTTGTATAGCCCCTCTCTTCGAAGTATGATAAACACAAAAAAAGATATCAACAATGGTCTCGTCTAGGTAGTAGCTGCCGAATATAATCTTTTTGTACATCGCTTTTTGAATAAAAATATTACGAATTTTACCAAATAACATGCATCTTTGGAAGTTATATATGTTGAACTATCTTACTGGTACCACGAATGTTGATTAAGAGGGGAAACCAGTTTAGATCATTCAAAAAAAAAATTTTTTTATTGCAAAGAAGGTTAGTACAACTATTCAAAATATGTTGTTTATGTTTCAAAACGAAGTTCCAATTAGTTCTGTTGATATGAGCACTAAGGTAAACACCGTCGATTCAGTGCCGAAGCGCACTTTTTTTCAAATGTGTTTTTCTCGAAACGAATTTTTTTCAACTTGCGGGAATCCTAGCTCGAAAATTTATTGGCAAATCGATCTGAAAATTTAGGTGAATATCCTTTATTCAACTCCAAAAAATATGAACCAAACTTTGGAATGATATTGTTAAGTAAAATATATTTTTTTATGTAAGAAAGTTGAAAAAAAATTATATAAAAATATAACATTTTGTTCAAACACCTCCAAAACAGAATACTTCTATGTGAATAGTGTGCCTGTAAACCAAAAATAGGTTGAATCGAATCAATTATTCCTCATATACCTTTCAGAACTTCCGGCTGACTTTATACCGCATAAATCGGCAAATATGTGAGTTATTTAAAGGAAATTAAATTAAGTAATTTTCTAATAGCAATATATTTTTGTGCATAAAATGGATAAAATCGGCTAATTACTCTAGCCGCCGTATAACTAACTAATATCAGGTTTTTAAAACATTCGATTGACTTTATACCGCAAATATTGGTAATGGTACGAGTATGTGCGGTACCTTAATGAAACTCAGAGAGCATCTTTTCCTGTTAATAATGTGTGGTAATGTCAAAAATAGGTATAATCGGTTCAAAACTACAAGTATCTTCCATATACCTGTTATAAGGTTTTAGAATTTCCGGTTGGCTTTAAACCGTATATATCGATATGCTATAGTTTAATACCGACAATATGTGAAATTAGTCTAAGAATTATTCCAACTCCCATATACTACGTATAAAGATTTTCGTTATTTTAACAAACCAAATGCCGAATATATAGGTCAGTGTGTGAGTTATATATTTATAAATTGCTTGGAAATATATTCTCGAAAATACCTGAGCAAAGTCAAAAGTTATTGCAATCAGCAGAGACTTCTTCTGCCACTAATATACCTTATATAGTGAATAACGGCTTTAAACCGTACAGATTGGTCAAAATGTGTGATATTTTAATGAAATTTAGTGGACTAGTTTTCTTAAAAAGTATATGGTATGTTCAAGACCTTTGTCCACAGCTCATATCCCTAAAATAATTAATTCCGATAATTATAGCTGACACGAAGTAAAATATAGTAATAAAACTCGGTGCTATAAGCTATAATTTAACTTAATAAAACCTATTTCCGTTCATCGCTTTGATCGAATAATGAATGTTGAATTCTTTAACAGCTTTTTTTGATATAAAAGTTGGCCCAAAACTGAAGTTAGTTCTCCTGCTGTGATCCGTGCGAGTTACGAGCGTATAAAATGTTTGGTGACACCCGAACTTAGCTCTTCCTCACTTGTTTATAATTTAAGTTATTTTAAAGGAATGAGCATGATCACTCATGAAACTGTCCGGAATGGAACCCAATCAATCTCTAAACCCAGAGTATAGAAACAATTTATCCACAAGCCCTTAACACCCTTCGGTTGATAAATTGGAACTTTTAACATGGATAATTGATAGAAAACGTGAACGAGTCCCATAATTAATTTCAATCGAAAAAAGAATGAAACTTATCTAAAGACTTTGATTTCTGATTTTTGCCGCTTCAAAGAGTTTCATTATTATATTATATAATTAATTTGCTCTAGTTGTGAAAGAAATGTATAATTATTTAATGTTTTTATTTTGCAAAGATTTTAGCACACAATTACGTATTCCAAAATATACTTACATAGATATTAGAATTAAATGCCATAAAGAATGATATTATCTTAATTCAATAGATATGGATTACATGCATACAAATTAATATATATATTAATGCTAATACCATATAAGAGAATTAATAAATACCACTAACAAATCCATAAAATTATTATGAAAATAATTAATGTACATACATACAAATGCGATATATGTACCTACAAATTATACACAAAAAAAAACTCCAATCTAATTCACATATGTCCATAACTTCCCATAAAAATAATACTAATTCGCTAAGTTATTGAACACTGCATTATGGCTGCCCTGTACCGGAATGGCATTTGCATTTCCATACGATTTGAACAAGTCTGGCAATTTGTTAGCCTTAATGTCCCTTCCACTTTTCCCGAGATCCTTTTTTACAGAACACAACATATCTAAAAGTATGTATGTATGTATGTATGTATGTATGTGTTCCACACAATAATAGAATCAAAGTACCAGCCAAACGACCTTAGGGAAGGGCATCACAAATCGCATCAAGCTTTCACAAATAAATAAATGTCTATGATACGGCAAAAATAGGCCAGTTGGCAAAAGTTAATGTGCGAATTCCGTACTCGCATACACATACACACATGTTCGCACATAACCTTAAAGCGATTAAATAAACATACAT